ATGTAGTGTGTAGTGATAAAGTCCTTTTAGTAAAAGTTTAATCATGGGATTTCAAAACATGTGAAGTTCTGAAAATTGAGTTAAGAAATTTTGGGAGAACAATTCCAAAGAAATGGCAGATTAATTAACTCAAGGTAGGGATACGAAAGTAATTTGACACCAGTTTACATGCTTTGATAGACTAATACTTAATGTTTTTCTAGTACATTCAGTTGACAATAATACAAATAATTTTCAAGTTCCAGTTATGTATTTTTAAGATGCCACTTTCTAGTTGGACATACTTCCAAAGAATTAGTGGCCTCAATTATAAAATTATGTACAGAAACAAAACTTCTGTGAAGTTTAGAGCTGGAACATAAAAGCCGAGTTTTTAAATATGGGGTGTTTATTTTAGTGTGGAGGAACAAAAATAAATTTAGAATAGACAGTTAGTCTACCTTACAAAATTTTAATTCCAAATACTGTAGCAAAACCTGCAAATAAAATTCAGTGTTCACACTGGGAGAGACCTCTGTGGTATTGGAAATATTTTGTGATCTTGTACTTATACACTTGTCTGTGAACCCAGAAGTTACTGATCATGTTGGTTGAATACCTCTACCTCTCTGACCTAACTAAAAAATACAGTAAGCATTATATTTAAAAAGTAGTTTCACTTAAAAGGGATGTTTATTAAAGATATCACAGGGTATGTTGGAATTAAAACTCTTTAAAGATTTATGGTTGTGTATTTAAGGTTGATTTCTGCCAGGAACAGATGGTATTGAAGCAGACAGCTGACAAGTGATACTGCAGCAAACACCTATTAAATCATATTTTGTAAGTTGGATCACAAAATGAGTATTTTATAGAGCTATTGCAAAATTTTGCTTTGAAGAGCAGATGAGTTAAAGACGAGTTTTTATGAAGGGGGAAGTTGCGTTCATGCTTTTTAAAAAAAAATAGTTTAAAGATTTTTGGACCAGTAGATATTGAACTACTTGAAGGGCAAATTGAAATCGTATTCTAGTATACTCTTGGGGAAACCCTGGTCAGGTTACAGCAGTCTTACTGGGTATGCACAGGATAAGAGATCTGCTTTTAAGGCATCTAGCTCATTAAAACTCCCTGTAGTTGTATGTAATTATTCTAAATCAATTGCTGAGATAGAACCCAATCAGGAATTAATCATTAGATCTCAAAAGTATTCTTTACAACTTTGAAAAGAGGCAGATTTGAGTGCTGCATGTTTAAATTAGCTGGAGATTTGTCCATTGTAGAAGTTTTGATCCATAAAACAACCAGCAAAATAATTAAAGCCTATGTTTTAGGTAAAATGAAGTGGCATTACCCTTCTTATCGGTTAGGGGTGTTATGAAGAAGCTTGTAAAACCAATATCCCTGTCACTTCCAAATTTGGTTTTAATGGGGTCCTAAGGCCTTCTATCCATTTCTCACATCATAATCCTTATAGAAATGCCTGTTTAGATGAAATGTTGGGGAAACGTGAGAACTGGAAGCACTGTGAATGCAAAGATTAGGTGTTTTTCATGTAATGCAATCCAAAGGCACATATTTATATGATGTTGGCATTTTTGTGACATAGAACCATCATTCTGAAAATGATTCCTTAAGGTCCAAGCCCTTTTATTGCTTCAATTTGTTGACAACATTGACCAATACCTGGAATTAAACTTGAGTGTTTCTACCTGGGAGTATGAATTCCTTTGCTTCTCTTGGAGTACCAACATTCTTTCAACTATGTAAAACCTGCCTAATACAATTAGTGTAGTGTGTTTCCTTACTAATATTACAGCTGATTTCAAGTTGTAGTAGACCCATTTGCCTGGCAGGTTGTTGAAATGGAAAATGAAGATGACACAACACTTGCTTTTCTGTGCTGTCAGATTCTGCAGTAATACTGAGATACTTGGAATTAAGTGCCAACAGCATTAGACCTTCCTTACATTCTGTGTAACAGTAGCTTTTATGTACAAAACCCCTTCTCTCTTGAAATGTTTCTTTTAGTTTCATAAACTTAAATAACAGTAAAGGAACAACATGAGGGTCAGTATTTATATTAGTATGATGTATTGGTGCTGCAAGATGTCTGCTTCCAAAGTTGCTCATTAAAACTGGAAGCTTGATGAATGTTATCTCCTGTAATGCTTTATATGCAGCAGTTTGTGTTTGCAGCTGATGCTTGTTCATCAAATTCTTACTGGTTTTAATAAAAAGTAGTTGTTCTGTATAGCGGTACTTCATTAGCATTTAAAATAGAGAATTCTGGTTTACTCAAACTTCATTTATTAAAATGCACAAATAACACGTGATACTTAAGGTGGAACAAGATCAGAATTTTCTTTTAATGAAAGCAAAGACTTCTTCACACTATTGAGAGCTTGTTGAATGCAACATTTGTGCTTTTGTATAGAAGTTCTGAAAAACTGGTTTTAAATACTGAAAAAAAATCAACTTTCTCACAGAGAAAAATTGAAAAAAAAAATTGTTTGGAAGCATCAAAAAGTGGCAGCTGTGAAACTAGGGGGGAAGAAAGTCAGGGCTTCATCAAAACTCCCTCAGCATGCAGAGAATTCGTGGTCAATAGAGACCCTGGGGCTTGGGATTGTTGAAGTACCATAGGCTCTGGAGCTGACCCAGAAGATCACAAGCAATGAACATCCCAGCAGGGCTTCCCTGATGCTGTAGAGCAGGGAAGTCTCCACCAGCCTCCCACATCTATACTCTTCTGGTTTGTACTCCCTGCTGCAGAACTGGGAGTTGGGCTTTGAGTATTTTCAAGCTGTCAGCTCAAGAACAGCAAAACTGAAATATTTGCATGACTGGAAACACACGGCTTGGACACATAGCTCTGGAGTGGAAATGTTGCTTGTGTTTGAGCTGCTCTCGTGTTTGTATCTTGGTGGTTTCAGGATGCTCAACAGTTTCCATTAGTAGCAGTTGCATTTTTGGAGAAGTGTGTCTCAAATTTATCAGAAATTTGGACCATGGATGTTTCAGGAAAATGTCTGGAGTTTGGTGATTACCATTTTTTGAGACGAACAGCTTCCTTCTCTTTGCCACTTTAATGGAAAATTTCTTAGTGGTTATATGAGATTGATATGACTTCTGCCACTGAGATGTTAAAAATAGGGGGGCTGGGGGGGAAACAAACAAACTTGAACATTTTCATCACATTTGTTGTGTTTGATAAAGTTTTGCCCTTTATAGGGCAAACTGGGGAGTGTAGTATTTGCTTTTATTCCTGAGTTAATACTCTCTGCAGAAGGGCATACTAGTGGCCCATCTTATTTTTATGTGTTTGTTCATCTTTAGGGTGTATGCTCTTTAACATTATCAAAAAGACTTAAATGGAGTTGCAAAATATTAGCTAGCTGTAGTAGTGCTGCTCCTCCAGATTGGAGGAATGAAAACCGATTTTCGTTGCTGACTTTGGGCTGGGAAGCAACTTTAATGTGTATTACCTTTTCCATTGTGATTCCTGTCTCTTTTTATTTTCTGCTAGGTGGCAAGTCCTTGGTGTCAGGGGCTGTATTTTTTTGTCATTAATCTGTAATCTGCAATTGAGACATACTGGCAAGTAATTGGTACTGTGAGGCATTATGTCGTATTATGATAAGTTTCTAGTATTGATGTCTTTTTCAGGGTGCGTCAGTGTCAGCTTTGCACTATTCAGTTTGGAATCTGTAATTCAGAAAATTCTGTTAGGAAACATTGGTGGGATGGTGACTGTGAAAGTTTGACTTCCAAGCAAGGACTAAAGAGGGAGTAGGTTGGGGGGGGAGGGGTTGTTGAATGTTCTAAGTTCTGAAGTTGTCTTTTATGTTCTAGAAGTGACTTTTTGGGTCTCAGCTCTAGTCTTGCTCTCTGATCTCTCCTGCCATGAACTTTAATTTTCTTACTGTATGCTGTGAGCTCTTCAGTAGAAATTCACTGAATAAGGTTATTTTTGCAAGGGAGAGGAACATTTTTAGCAATAAAATGTCAATGAAAATGTACAGTAATTTTGCCATCATTATGAAACAACAGTTGAATTGGTAAAAGTGTCTTGTGACTTAAAATTTCTTGCTGCTTATAATCTTGATCCCTCACCCCTGGTGTATTTGAAACTCTACTAAAAAGGTTTAGCCACATAAGCAGAGCTTGGTCCAGAACCAGGGTAGTGACTGAGGATCCTTCCCTTTCCTGATTTCTCAGTGGTCTTCCCTCAAAGTCAACTGGTTAGTTCTTGTTTATTTCTCACTGATGTGAAAGTGGTCTTATTTTTCTGATTAAGCTATAAGGGAAATCAGCACTGATCCTGAAAGAATTTGGAAATACTTTGCTAGTCTTCCAAAAGTGAATCTTTATCAGTATGTGTTGTGTATGGCCAAGTAAGTTCTCACTTGTACCTTCATAAAGGACCTTAGATCAGCCTGAACTAATCAAAAGTGCTGAGTCTTACTTGCATCCTCCAGAGTGTTTTCTGCAAAATAAATTGCATCTTTACCTTCTCTTTGCTTATTTCCAGCAAACAAAACAGTTGAAAGTGGATCTTGGTATTTTTGCCCCTACTCACTCTAGCTTCTTTTCTATTTAAAAAACTGCTGAAACAAACTTTAAGCTTCCCACAGACGACGTTGCTCAGTAATTACTGCATAGGAAGGTGACATACCATATTTAACTGCAGGACAGCCTCAAGATCCTGCCTCTGGAGATGAGTGCATGGTGATTTCTAACTGGTAGCTTAATGTGAAGACATGAAGAGCATCTGTCAGTTTGTGTATGCCAGGAAAAGGCCTAGTTGACTATGTAGGTATTAAGAGTTCCTTAGGGAAAAGCATGCTTGTCTTAGTAAATGTGACTAACGTCTTTAGAGTAATTAAGTTTTCTAAAATATAAAATGTTCAATATTTGGAAGATGCACTTTTATGCAGTGTTTTTTCATGACTCGTACAGAATGCTAAAACATACTTTTTTATTTTAAATAAAACCTTTTTTCCCCCCTCTTACCACAGGATAATGAGAAAAGGACCCCTTTACATGCTGCTGCCTATCTGGGAGATGCAGAAATTATTGAACTACTTATTTTATCTGGTATGTTCTATTCCTGTTAATGGAGAAAAAAAAAACCTCTTTGCACATCCAAGGAAATATTTGTGTATATCTTAGTCTATGTAGCTTTACTGACGTATTTAATGTACTAGAAATTAAAGATATTTGTACTAAAACATTGGTTTCCAGACTTAGCAGTGTTTTAATGCTGTGTAGTTCTGCTCTAAAATACTTCTTTATAGAAAGCTTTCTCAGGTATAGCTATTTTTATTTGTAGCTTAATCAGCTGTAGGTAGTATATTTTAAAGAATTGATGATGCATATGTTATAGGTAGATGTTAGCAGCATTGCTTTGGTTCTGAAATGGCCTTCAGAAAAACAAAGTTGAAAATAGAAGATGGCATCCAGCGTTAGTTATATTATTTTAAGTATCCTTTGCTGTTGGCTTAAATGCACAGTATATAATTAGGATAATTTGAAAATTTTAGAACTCTTGTCTTTTTTTTAATGTATTTGTGCTAAGGCAAAGTGCAAGTTCTGTAGAACAGTATGCTTCTGTCTTTTAAAGAGAAGAAGAAACAAGGTAGAAAACCAAGAAACTAAGCTAAAAACCTGAAAGCAAAATTTCATGACTGAGATACTACACTGATTGTCTTTGATCTTGGATAAATCTGTCCATCAAGTAGCTTGAGGCTGAATTTGAGATATGGTGCTTTAATAGAAATATTAAAACTTGTAACAGTCCATAGAATAATTTTTAATTGGCTTAGTGGCACACTTTACCTGTGCAAAGATGACTATTTCCACACCACTCCCCTCCCCATCAACCTTTACTAACAAATTCTGCTTCAAGAAATTGTCACTTCTGGGATTGTAGGAGTCCGTTACAGACTTTCAATTGAAATTGCCAGACACAATTTAATTTGTTACAAGTTAGCAGGGTACGATTTTCTCTTTAGAGATATAACGATATAGAGTACATTATATATTTGTTTCTCATGGAAAAATTCTATAGTGATAGAATTGCTGAGAAGGTGCTGGTTTTCCCTAGCAAGACAAAAAAAGTTCTGGTGGCTCTTGAAATAGAATGACCCCTTTCTTCTGAAAAGGGATCTTGGATTCAGCAAGAATACTTCTTTTTGTTGAGGTTTTCACAGTGATTAAAACAGAACAACTAACCATGTTGCAAACTTTGTGAAGTTGTAATTAACTATTTCTGGGAGGAATCTTCTGACTGTTTTGTGTGAACAGAGTTCAGTTAGCAGAACTGTGATTGAAGAAAATATCTCTCAGGTAAAGGTCTTATGGAAGAAGTGAGATTCTAGTTCAGGTATAAATGAAATAAAGGTCCTGACTGAGGGATGGCAGTAAAGGAAGAAAGGTTAGTCATAGTATTTGGGCATATAGCCTGAGGAAGAGTTAAAGAAAAATTGGAGAACAAAGGCAGAAGTGAAGAACTATGAATTAGGGCTGTACCAATAGGCCACATTTGAGCTGTTTTGTGGAGGAGAGGTAGTGGGGTGCTCCTGTGTCTACAGCTTCATTCAGGAAGACTGGGAGACATTGGCAAATCTCAGATAAAATTTACTTAATGAAAATCAAAGTTTACTTGCTCAAAAAAATGCATTAAATAGTTGCAAAATCAGAAGCTTTGAAAGCTGTGGAACATATAGGCAGTATCGCTCTGACCTTGCTGTGCTCATATGCTGTGCTGTGGGCTTCGTTTACATGTTTGTGCCTTGCTGTAGAAATACAGCCTCATGATTTTCCCAGGGAGGGTGTGCACTGGGGGATGACTCAAGGTGGTAAAGCTGAAAGGGGGGCCCACAAGCCAGTTGTCAATGCAATTGAAGGGGGGCATTAATTGCAGGATGAGAAGGTGATGCCTGTGTGTTAAGGCTGTTCAGTTTGAAGGGCTGTACTGTACTTAGGCGTTAATCTATATATTACCTGTCTGAAAGCTGTGGTTTCAGGCAACCAGCTTAAATCAGGCACTTTTAAAAGCAGTCACCAGTTTAGTCTTCCTCATTTCTGAATGCTGGACTCAAAATCTTTGTGCTTTGTGAACTGTGAGCACTCACAGCTGTATCTGAAGTGCTGCACCAGCTACTTCAGAGAAATCAGCTCTAGATGTCTCAAAATATGCAAGCCAAGATTTTTCTTCTAACGCTCCTAATTAGAAAATAGGGAACAGAGGTTAAGTGTATTTATGCTCTCCATTTCATAAAGATACAGAAAATTCATCTCTTGTGTTTCAGCTGGAAATCAAATCTCTCCTTTGAGACAGAGGTATAATGTTACATTTTGTCATAATAGATGAGCATTAGGGAGCAAATAAAGAACATCTGTTACAACAGCAAGGTTTGAAGAATGTTTCCTGTGTTGTAAGACCTTTTCGAACAAGCAAATACTTTGTTGAATAAATAACATTTCTGAACAAGTCTCCTCTGTGCAGTAAATTTGCATGTGAAAATTTTATATGTGGCTTTAGTTGACCTATCGTATTTGCACAAGGGATCGAATTAAGTAGTGTAGACTGTTTTCATCCTAGCATTTCTCACCTTGAGAGCTTGGCTTTCCAACCTGTAATGTCCTCCCACTGCAGTTTTGCTGGAATGTTATTAGGAGCCACTTTACAGTTTTCCTGCTCTTCAAGCTATCCTATGAAGACTTTTTGCTTTGACTTTTTTTTCTTTCTTCAAACTAGACCTTAAAGTCAGTATTAATCTTTCCACTATTCCGTGGCTTTTACCTGATTCTTTCTCAATCTCTATTTTTAGTTAGTGTGCACTGTATTTTATGTAGACATGGGTCTTTAATTTCAGTGGAACTTCTTTTGGATTCCCCTCAAGGGGATCCACATTGATTTCAAGTGTGCATTTTGGATCATATGTTGCTATTACAATATCTTTATATTAGTTTGCTAAGCAACCTGTGTTGCACATTCTGAAGATACAACTGATTCAGCCTATTTGCAGACTTCTGTGGAATAAGTTCTGTCTTAGAAGCATACTTCATTTTTCAGTTCTTGAGATTTTCCCACCAAACCTCAAGGCTGTTCTGTGACCTCTCCTGTTGTAGTCTTTCACCTGAGCAAGGACCTGAAGGTGATGATTTGGATACAGACTGAACAGCAAAGAAACCTGCTTCAGTGACTCCAGTTTGGGGCTGGACATCTAGATTGCCTTTTGTTTTTAACCTGAGACAGTGCTTCACTGCACTTATTAATAAATGTGTCCCCTGAGGATGTGAGCATCTTGCCAGCAAATTTTCATATAACTGTGGTCTTTGGTAGTCTAAATATTCAAGTCATCTCTCCCTATTAGATTGTAGCTATATAAGTAATTATAAATTTCTAAATTTGTTAGGGTATACAGAAAGATGGAACAAAAGTTTATATTTTAGTCACTCAAGAGTTATGATTTCGGAAGCATTTTCTTTTTTGTATTACTCTGTGTGGAGTTGTAACACCCATCACAGTTGTATTTTAATGATGTATGTACAATCCTGCATCCTGGTGCACAAACACATCTGTCTACTCTGCATATTTGCACTGACTTTAATTGTGTAAGTACTTGGTGGCAAGCTGTTGAGAAGTAGAAAAGTAAAATATTTAAGTGTTAATTAACCGAATGTTCAACTTTTCTTTCCAAAAAGTCCTGGTTAAAAAAACCCTCACACCCTTCTTCCTGTGAAGTCTTGCATGTGAACTGTTGTGGGGAGGCTTCTTGCTTAATAAAAATAATTTGTTCTGTTTGTCCTACACTTTTTTGGTGCCATCAGAGCTTATTCTGGAGGCAAGTGAGATGTGAGTGAGGAGCAGGACAGATTAGTGTGATCCCAGAATGTATTCTTTTGAGTAGCTTTTCATGCATTTTCTTTAAAATAGTATGCAGACTATTATTGCTTTTACTGAAATCAGCACACTTCATCTGAAAATAAATATCTGATTTATCTGTTCTCTTTTGAACAGGTTTAGTTAATGTATTATGTTGATACTGAAATGATACCACAGCACATTTATGTTTGTTTAACCCGAAATCTTCACTGCATGGAGCTCAGTGTGCATAAGTGTGTGGTCAAACTCGACCTCATTAAGGTTTGGCAGCCCATGAGTTTTTGTTGTGCTTTCCTCTGGGTCAGCTGGAAAATGTAAGAATCGTGCTGACAGGGGCAAACTATCATTACAATAATAACATATATTGGAGGATAGTAAAGACCCTCGAATGACACCACTCCACCTGTATTTCTTTCATCTAATTCTGAAACTATGCAACTATTAAAAGTCCATGCAATGACAGTCAGGCAGCTGTTGAAAGGCTCTCACTGCAGAAATAACAGCAGCATGAAGGTCCCTGTATTGGGGTTGCAGATGTACCCACTTGCTGAAGGCATTTCACAGGGGCTCCTTATACACTGGCTGTATCTTTCAGCTGCTTCCTCTTCTTTTGAGAATGATGTTGGCTGCAGTTTTCCTTTTTTGTGCTCTCTTAATTTCACTCTGGCAGCAGTAACAGTCAGTTGCTGGGAAGAAAGTAGCTCTGACGCTCTGAGAGAGACAACGAAGCTGACCTATGAAAAGGTACAAGCATTTTGTAGCTTGATGAGTACAAGAACCTCATGTTGCTCTTTGAAGCTCAAGGAGGTGGTGGCTGAGATGTGGCAGAAACTATGAAGTTCTGAAAGGAAATGGATTTTGGAGCGAAGTTCTGGAGGACTGCTTTGAGTTGATTGCTTTCCTCCCTTTTGTGGACAGTACATCTCTGTGTTTGTTTTTTGTTGTTTGGTTTTTTTTAAACAATAAAAACTGTTGTTGAAGCATCATTGTATCTGGTCAAAAGATATTCCAGTCCTGTCCCTCTCGGTTTTTTTTCTCTGTTCCATAGATCCTCTTCTATGTGTTTAGCTTATAAATAGGAAGATGCTTTTTCTCAATAAGGTCTTATTCATTATTTTTGCAGCAACACTTTTCCAGTTATCCAGGTTTTCAATAAGAAATTACCATAGACTTCTATTACTGATTGCTCTGATTCATATCTCAAATCTTTTGCTATGCAGACTTTTCCCACATCTCCTTCTGAATGTTCACATATTTTTCTATCTAAGGAAAAGTTTTCTTCATCTGCTCATTCAGCAGTCTGAGGATTTCTGTTTGCCATGGTCATCTTTTCTAGCTAATAAGAGGATAATTTAGAAAGAAAGAACTTTTGAAGCTAATATTAGCCCTTAGGAAAATAGTTAAGTAGAATCTAACTACAGTAGGACTGCTGTTCTCAGTGTTTTATACCTAGGATCTTCCTAACTTCTGCAAGCATTATTCCTAAAAGTATATTTCTAAGTATACTAGTTAAGACAATTTGTTAGCTTTTTTAAATGCAATCTAAAGCTCTTATTTACATCTTGTACTCCTAAATAAGCATTTCAAAGCTTTAAATGCTGAACATCAGGTGTCTGTATTGCATAAGTGAATGAAAACACTTTTTCTTTATATGCTTATATTGTTCAAGTACTAGTACATCTTGTACAATAACAAGGGAAAAGTACCATCCTTGAGAGTCTAAAAATACACACTGCAAACAGAACAGTGGAAGGCAATTCATATATGTGAGTACTGTGAGTGAAGATGAAAATGTCTTTTCAGTTCTGTTGTTTCATTTCTCAATCTATTTCCAGCTAGTGATGCCTATGTAATATAGCTGCTGCATTCATTAGTCTTCCGAGGACATTTACAAATAGGAACAGTTCTCGAGCAGAGTAGCTTAGGAAGAGTCACAGCAAAAGCTCTTCTGAGAGGAGCACAGAGGTGATGTGCTGAGACACGGCTTTGTGGGGTGACAGGGTAGCACTTCATGGATGAAGGTTGAGGTGTGCGGCTGTTCCTCACAGCATCTGCTGCCCAGTCATCCAGTGCCTGTCTCTTCCAGAGCTGGCCGAGATGCTCGCTGCTACCTGAATGTAAGGATATTGACACCAAGGCAGTAGCCACTGGATTGCAGAAACACATGTCTGGCTTTTGGTGGCTAATAACATATTTGAATGTGCAATTGACAGATATAATTAAAGCTTCCAGGATCCTTCTGAAAATCAGTGTGTGTATCAAATTGGCAGATGTGTCTCTTGGAACACAAATTTGCTAATAGTAAACATCACTGATTTTATTTTGTAGTTTCTGTGCTAGCTTTATTAAATAAAACATCTTCATAGTTGTCAGTCAACTTTGCAAAATGAAACATAAGATACAGAGAGGGAAGAAAAATATATAATACTTCTCTGTCTATCTCCTTGCCTCACATACTCCCTACTTTGCAGAGCAAAAATCCTGCTTTCGTATTTGCCTAGATATGTAAACTTACTAGGCTGTAAACTAATAAACTAGTAAAGTTGGCAATGGAAGGGCAGATCTTGTTTAATCTTTCAGTTTAGTGCACCAACTTAGAAGAGTAAGTTGGTTTGTTTAGAAGGTACAGCTTTAAGATTGGTGTCTTAAATCAGTTTACATAATCAGTTTTTAAGTTTAAGCAAAGATGGGTATTTGTGTTGCAGTGTTGTATTTGTTATCTCTGGCAAGCACCCAGATCCTTTTCCTGTGAGCTCTGTGGCATTAAAAGAAATTAAATCTAAGAAATTTTACATTAAACAAATGAAATATTTGAGCAGATTTAATAAAAACATTAAAACCGGGCTCCTGAAGTCTGGAAGATCCAGCGTGGCAGGGTTTTTTTTGTTTGCTTTTTTGTTTTTACAGATTGGGCATTGAGGCACACTGCACTGTGCTGGGAAAGAGGGAGCTGCTGCATAACTGGCATTTGAAGGCGTTTGAAATGTGAGAAATGCCCTGGTTAACGTGTCAGCAGGTTGGGCTTCACAGGGATAATGTTGCCTTGGCAGTGTTTTACAGTGAATTATATACATGCGTGTGTTCAAACTGTCTGTAAGCAAACTGTGAAGCAAATCATCTTTAAGCAAAAGATACTCAGTAAAGGTGTAATATATTTTCTAACATTTATTTGCAGTGATCTGCACTAGAGCTTTAGCCCAGAGAATGAACGCTGTAAAACTTCTCACTGTTGCATGGTAGAAGTATGATAGGTTTGAGGGAGCTTTGTGTTCCATGGAGAGAGTCTGAAGGGGGAGGGAGGAATGGTGACATTTTCCTCAAATCATGTGCTAGGGAGTAAAGAGCAGCCTAGAGAGACATTATGGCCTCACATTCAACTCTGGTGAAACTGTTCTATAAAATTGTAAGTCAATCTTGGCAGCATGTCATCTTGGAGAAATTTATGGGGGAAGTATAGTATTTCTTTGTTAATTTCAAGTATTTTATTTAATATATCTAGAGCTATAGATCTTCCAATTCCCACATTAATAGTGCATATACATTTTCTGGTAGTATACTTACTCTGATTATTATGTTAAAATTTTGTATTTTAATCAAACAGTTTTGGAACTCCTTTAAGAGTTCTTTGTTGGGGGCACAGGGGAAAAAGTTTGGTGGTTCTTTCTTAAGTAAATCCATCAGAGTTTTAGGTCTTTTGACAGAAGTCAATTTTCATTTTTTCCTTTGTCAGAGAATCTACAAATTTTTTGTGCATTTGAAAAGCTAACTTATTTAAATATATACAATTTAACAGAGACTAGGGAGTGTATTAGACCTGGGCTTTCTTGCTTCTTTAGATGGAAGATCACTTATGGGGTCGGGCACAGATATTATTGTGTTGATTTTCTTCTTTTGCAAGGACCCTGTATGTTACTTTTAGATACCGCTTCATATTTCCTTTGGCATTTCTTTGACTAATGCTGGTTTTCTTTCCTACCAGAAACAAAAAACACTTTCAGATAATTCTTTTTTCTCTTTAATCATAGTAAATTTGATTAACCTTCCCACTAGGAAAACCTTTTCTACAGTATACTTTTGTATTTATCTGTGCTATCTTATGTGGGTTTTAGGCTATGTGTTAAAAGTACCAGAAGTGTCAGTGAATGATTTAGCTGAATCCGTAAAGACAGTTTGGATCCTAAGCACATTTTAGCTAGAGCTTAGGTGACTGCTGCTGCTTCCTGGGGGTGGAAGTGTACATTTCTCTCTTTCTGCTTGGCGTGGTGCTTCTCCTGTCTTGGGCTTCATCACCTAGGTGGATCTGACCCTAAATCTTGCAAGTTCATTTTCCTGAGGAAAATCAGGATGGCTATTATTTACTCCCTAGAAACAGAAACAGAAATCTGTTAGTCTTGCAAAGTCTTTGTTCCTTGGTTGCTGGCCATAGACATAGTCAGGTGGAGGTTGGAGTAACATTTTTTGGCTCTTAGTTTGTTACACTTATATAACTGTATATGTGTGGATGTATATCAGTAAGAAATTAAATCATTATTTTCTTGTTTGCTGAAGTTCACTGGAAGTTAGAATGTATTTCAGTTGATTTCTTCAGGAGAAAAACCTCCAAATCCTTAATTTCTTTCTTAAGAAAATGAAAGAAAATCTAAACCTAGGGTTTTATCCCATACATATGTTTGTGACACCTTTTTTTCCTGGAGATAGGGACAGTTGTTTCTCAGGTGTGCTTTTAGAAGCAAAGAGGTGTGGTAGTGAAGTGGGCTAATTGACGCAGTGGAGTAGAGAAGATTCATTCCCAAATTCACAGTACCGAAGTAGCAACATTCTATATACCTACACATCACACTTGCCAACCACAAGGAAATGGAGAGGCATGGGGAATAAATATAGCCTCTTTCTCTATTTTAAGAATAGAATTTTGGATACTTTCAACTACAGTGGGAGAGTGTGGGATTTTTGTTGCTGAATAAAGGCACGGAATCCGTCATTCTTACCCAATGGTCTTTTGTGTGCCCGTGGAAGTGCAGAAGATTACAGATGGTTACTTAGTGTAAAAATATGCATACACTTTGATGGCAGAGTACTACAGGTGTAGTGTAAAAGATTTTCCTCAAAGGGGTGGGCTTCAGCTGGAGATAGAACTATTGAAATATACTTATTCTGGGCTAATTAATACAGTATGATGCCAGAAGTAGAGTCTGTCCCTGTACTTGAAAATATTAGAGTGTTTTTGTAAATAAACAAAAAGATTCTTGTATTCTTATTTTTTTGTTACAGGAGCTAGAGTTAATGCCAAAGACAGCAAATGGTTGACTCCTTTACACAGAGCTGTGGCGTCTTGTAGCGAGGTATGCTTTTTTTCCTGACTGCTTTGTGTTAAAATAAGACATCTCAAAATACCTTCTGTTCTTTTTTTCAGTTTTTACTAAGTAAAACTGCTCTAAACTTTTGCAATTGCAGAACATTTTTGCATCAGCTTAATTTGATTCTATGTGTGTGTATATATGTGTATATATCTCTCTCTCAGTGTCACATGCCTGAGTAGTAATAAAGGGGGAAAACTCTAACCTTATAGTTCTTAGCTTTGCTCTTGGCTGTTTCCCTAGCAGAGGATTCTGCATGCAGTGTTCTCAAGCCCAGTTTATTTCACTTAGGTAGTCAGAGTGATTGAGTGTAAGAGCAGTAGAGATGAACTAAGATTTAGTAAAACCTTTACAGCGTAATCTTTGCATTTCTTCTTTTTTTTTTTTTACATGCTTTTTTCACCTATCTGTTCAGGCATTGAAGAAATAAATGGTTCTATAAGATCTGCAAATGTTTGTTTGTTGTTTTAAAAAAAAAAAACAAAAGCCAACAATTAATGAGTAATGGTGGTATTGAAAATAACTTTAAAAGTTATAAATGAAATATGTAGAAAGTTTTTTGAAGTCTATCACTTAAAGTTGTGATAATATAGTAATGTAAGAAATGAATCTGTTATTGTTCCTCTATTGTAGATAGCCTCATAAATACTTTAAATGCCTGTAGAAGATGAAAACAGAGACATGCTGAGCTTTTTATGTGTGAGAGTTTATGCAAAACTGAGATCCTCATTCAAATCAATGCACAGTTTGTCTAAAAAAAAAAAAGTTTCTTTTTTAAAATGATTCTTTGTAATTTTTTTTTTTTTTTTTGAGAGGATGGGATTGAATGCTTTGGTTTTGATAAGCATGGAGCTTCAAGTATTTGATCCATAAACAAGTCTTCTTTCATTTTTTGCTTTTGAATTCCCTGGATAAATTGCAATACTTTGTCACTAGCGTGAATAGCTAGGTTATGTGGAGATTGTGTTATTCAAAACAATGTTTGAAAATTAATCTGAGAGCGCCTTATTTCAAAATGCTGGCTGTTCTTCTTGAGGTATTTTTAGGCTGCTCCTTTGGGAGCTGACCAGAGCATCAAATGCTGCATTCTTCAGAGCTGAAGGACAATAAAAGCTCCTTGTATCAGTAATGTCTGCAGAGAGAAGTGCTGCAGACAAACTGGACCTAAATGATAACTTCAAGAAATGTAACCATGGTTGGTTTTTTAGTTTGTTTTTTTTTTTCATGTGGAAAGTACTAACCGAAGGCCAATAACACATGTAAACCAATCACAGTGTTTACCCAAAAGGCAATGATAGGCACTTGTTCAGAATTTGCTATTTATAAACACGGTAGGTCATAGGAGCCCACATACGTGATTGATATGTATAGGCACTGTTTTCCAGCTGACAGACACACGGATTTGGGGCATTAGATTAAAAGAGTTGTAATGAAAAAACTCTTTACAACTATTTCAGGAAAACATCTGGGCTTACTCCTGAAAACAAGGACATTGAAACATGCAAAATAGCTGGAATTATAGATTTAGCTGTCAACAGGACAAGTTCAAGCAACTTAATATCAACATGGTCATGCTCATGGCCTTTATATTTGTGTGACTAGAGTACCTCAAGGGGAAAACCAACCAACCAAAAAACACCAAACAATAACAACAACAAAAACCTCAAGCCAAACACCCAACCCTAAGCAGTTTCACTGATTTTTTAGTTACATTACTGCAGATGTATGTAAAAATAGAAGGCACACCATTTTTACACTAGTACTGTGGTTCTTCCTTCTACAAAAGGGGTAAGAGCTGTTCTAAAATTTCCTTAATCTCATTATTTTTCTTAATATTTCATTTTAAAAGGACAAAAATTTAAAATATTGATTAGCTTTTTAAAAAATACTGTCTGCTTAACTTTTAGAGAACAAAAGAGCTAGTCCATATCTCATTTAAATTACAAGGTTGTGGTCCAGTATTTTCACTTTTATGTAAGTTCCTATTTTCTTTTTTGACAATGGAAGAAATTTGAACACTTTAAGTACTATTTATTGTAATAAATAGCGTCAACCGTTAGATAGCATTCTGCTCATAGCTGAGGTTAATACCTAGCTCTTGTACCACCCAAGTGTAATTTTAGATTTCTAGTAATTACTTGCGGTGGTAATGGTTTTTTTTTAAGTTCAAAGTGCCAACCATTCATTTGTGTGCTCAGTGTTTGAGCTGGAAGTCACTGAAAGCAGTTAGTGAATTATGGGAAGGTCACAGAGTTGATATAAAATGCAGTATTCATCAGTGTGTTGATATCACCAACGGAGTTTTTTATGCATTCCAATCATGTGCATGTATTTTAATGGGACTTGTTTATCTTGCTGTAAAAATTAGTCTTATCTGCCATATTTTCACACCTTGTGCTTTTTAACAAAAGGAACTGAACAATCTTTGTGAGATGGAATTCAGTGCAACATTTTGAAACAGTTTTCAGGAGTTTTGCAACAGTATATGTTGAAACTTTTTGTGACCATGCTCTGTTTATCTGTGGTTCTTTAATAAACTGTTCTTCTTTTTGCCATTTCTAGAGTTTTTTGACAGTTCAAAAATGCTGCTTGGCAAATTGATGAAAATGCATTATAAGTACATAGTACTTCACTAATCCTTAGCAATAGAAGAAATCCTGAGGAGATTTAGTGAGCTTTGGAAATTACTTGTGATGACAACACAGTTTGTCAGCTGGATAAAAGACCTGGAAATGGTTGATTCAGTTGAATCCTGTAGGGAGTTTATTGCTCATGTTCTTGAGAACTTCCCCAAATCTGGATTTATGATAAAGTACAAACACCAAAACACAAGGTGATGTTTACAAAAGAACAAATTTTACATAGTTCTATTCCATTATAATGGCCTTGGATTTAAGGCTGGCATTTCAAATCCTTACTAAGTGGCTTTTTTATTTTTTTTATTTTTTTTTCTGTAAATGCTTTCAGGATGCTGTTCAGGTGTTGTTAAAGCATTCAGCGGATGTCAATGCTCGTGATAAAAACTGGCAGACACCCCTACATATAGCAGCTGCAAACAAAGCTGTGAAATGTGCTGAAGCTTTAGTGCCTCTCCTCAGCAATGTAAATGTGTCTGATCGAGCAGGCAGAACAGCATTGCATCATGCAGCCTTCAGTGGACATGTTGAGGTAAGATTTATTTCTTAGCTTGTTTCCCACTGAAACTAAGCATTTCTGATGCTTAGTTTCTCAGTTTAAGATCACATTTCCTCCATCCCCTTAAGCCCTAGCCCCTATTTTGTATTTGAATTTGTCTTTTGTATTCGTCTGTGTGCAGAATGGTTGTGGGAAATACATGTTAACATCATTTAGTTAGAAGGTTATTACAGTGGCCACCTTTATTTAGACAGAAGCAAATTTGCCTGAGTTAAGTAGAGTTAAACTAGTAATAGAAAAATTTCAAATGGAAAAAAGGAAGATATTTTCTGTTCAGTAGGTAGTGAACTTACACAATGTGTTGTCACTGGAATGTGGACATTTGAAAACTGGCTAGTTTTCAAGCCCCATGGTGTTTCGTATTCCTTAGCTATTACTTCGTTGCTGCTGCCAAAGTGGGCTTTTGCAAGCTTATGGAATATTTCACAGAATCACTTTGGTTGGAAAAGACCTCTAAGATCATTGAGTCCAACTGTTATCCCTGCTCTACCAAATGTACCTCCAAGCACCACATCTCCACAGCTTTGAAACCCCTCCAGGGATGGGGACTCCACCACCTCCCTGAGCCGCCTGGCCCAATACCTGACAACCCTTTAAGTGAAAAATTTCTTCCTAAAGTCTGGTCTAAACCTCCCCTGGAGCAACGTGAGGCCATTCCTTCTTGCTCTGTCACTTGGGAGGAGAGACCAGCACCTTCCTCTCTACAATGTCCTTTCAGGTAGTTGTAGAGCGTGTTAAGGTCTCCCCTCAGCCTCCTTTTCTCCACACTAAACACCCCCAGGTCCCTCAGCTGCTTCTCATAAGCCATGCTCCCCAGATCCCTCCCCAGCTTTGTTAATTTGCTGAGTTTTTTCCTGCTTTCGAGTCCAAATCTCTCTCTTTGAGTTTTAAACCATCCCCCCTTGTCCTGTCCCAATAGGCCCTGTTAAAAAGTCTGTCCCCTCTGAAAGGCCCCTGGAAATGCTGGCAGCCACCAGAAGGTCTCCCCAGATGGAACCTTCTCCTCTACAGGCTGCCCCAGCCCAACTCTCTCCTTGCTTGGCTCCCAGCAACGGGGTTCCCCCCTTGGGTCATTGCTGGGGCTCCTCTGGCCCTGCTCCAGCAGGTCCCTGTCTCTGCTGTGCTGAAGACTCCAGAGCTGCCCCAGCCCTGCAGGGAGGTCTCTCCAGAGCAGGGCAGAGGGGCAGGATCCCCTTCCTGCCCTGCTGCCCACGCTGCTAGGGGTGCAGTCCAGGGTACCGGGGGCTCCTGGCCAGCTCCTCAACCCTAGCACCCCCAAGTCCTTCTCCCCAGCACTGCTCTCCAGCCTTGCACCCCTAGCCTGGTCTGGAACCAGGACTATGCCCTTACCCGTGGTGACTCTGAGAAGGTCCATGAAAGGTCATTTTTTCCCAGCCTATTTCAGTACCTACTTCTAATATTCAAAACCAAACACATTTAGATCCTTTGAAAACATGTATATTTTTGTTTTCTTTTACAATTTTCTTTGTCTAACTTTAAGCAGAATTTTCCATTATGAACAGAGGATTTCCTTTTTTTCTGTTTATCTCAGATGGTCAGCTTACTGTTGTCTAGAGGGGCCAATATTAATGCATTTGACAAGAAAGACAGGCGAGCGATACATTGGGCAGCATATATGGGTATGTATATGTTTCAGTTGATTACTGTTGTGGCAGTGAATAAAAAAAGTCACTTTATGCTTAGTGGTTTTATGTATTTCTAGGAACGATACTTGCAATGGAATCATTGAGGTTATCTATGTCTGCCAGAAAGCCGTTAACATTGTACTTCAAATTGTCTTGTAAATCTGTTTTTGTGGTGAGAAAAATCAGTTTGTTAGAAAAATAAAAGTAAGGCAAGTAATTTTGTTCTTTAAAAAGAAGAAACTATGTTCCTCAGTCAGCCAGAATCTAATCACAGGTGGAAACTTCTGCAGTAACGCTAAATAGAAAGTAAGCAATTAATACAGGAGGGACTTGAAACAGAGCATCATTACACCAACCTTGGGGATTGTATTTTAAAAGAAGAATCTAAATTCTTGCCTTGCCATTCTTATTCCAGAAGTGGATAATTGTTGTTCTCATGGTATCGATCAATGCAGTAGCAGTACTGTCAGAGTAATGTATTTAATTGCCTTTTATCAGACTTTTGTTTTATTGAGTGCTAAGAATGACTTTAGCATAGCTATAATAAATAGTGGAGCTTAGTATTTCAGGCTTCATTTAATACATTAACTGTATAAAACATTGTAAGGGGGATTACAGTAAATGCAGTTTAAGAGTTCTAGGCTGACACTGACAAAGGCTTCTTAGCTTTGACTAATCACTTTGTTTCTAAGTAATTCACATGCAACTGCAGATTGTATTTCTCATTGCAGAATCTGTTGTACCTGTTCAGAAACCAAAAAACATCGTGCCTCCTCAAAAAAATGTCTAAAAATGTCTTTGAATACGTGCAATGTGTGTCATATATGAGCACCAAACAAGTTTCAATATCAGTTTCAGGAGGAAGTCAGTTGAGATGATTCCATGATCTTGATTGTTATTAAGTCTTATTACCCAGTCATGGGAGAAGGATAAAACCCAGTAGCAACAGTATTGTATGAATCTGCATGCCTGGGAATTTCTTGGAAGATGAAACAGGGAAATAAGACTTCATTAGGTGCAATTCTTTGTTCCTGTTATGTTTTGGTGATCTGTGTTTTCCTAAATTTTAAATTCTCCAGAAAATACATATCTAAGGATATGTATTATTTTTAAGGATACATATGTAAAGACATATGTCTAAGGATACCATTTTATGAAACTTAAGGAGAAGAACAGTCAGGAAGATAACGTTGTCCTGTTATTCGTGGCAGCCTTTTTTTTTTTTTTTTCAGAGGTGATATAAAGATGTGAACATTTTTGTTCCAGTTAAGAGGAAAATCCTACTTGGGATGACTAAGTGAAAACCTTTGTATGTAGGGTTTATAAAGGAGTACCTTGTATTTGTGATGAACATTTAACTTAATATACAGGGAAAGTAATTTCTATACTGTCCCTTCCCTGAGTAAAACAAATTCATTTTATTGTATCTGAAATTGAACCAAACAATAAACATGCATAAAAGAGGAAATTGCATGGACTCATTACACTGACATTCTAAATCTAGGTTAACTCTGACTTGGAGGTCTGTTCTCAGGCAAAATGCCCTCAATATGGAGTTTTATATTAATGCTCATGATTGTGAATGAAAGAATTACTTGTAAATAAGAGAAATGCTGTGCAAAGTGTATTGGTTTGGGTTCATTCTTAAAAACAGACTTGGAGTTTCTGACTAAACATATTTCTCATCTGTGATTCTGTGGCATTGACTGTCTTTTGTAACTGCTTGGGAGTTCTTACAGTTTTCCAAGCAATGTTTCCCAGTCTTACCAGGAAAGAGCAAACAGAAAGTGGAAATACATTTTCAAACTCACATACTGAGCAGAACAAAAGAGCATAGCATGTGGGACAATACATACTTAAATACAGTCACCAAAAACCTGACCCTGAGTGTCGGGGTTGATGATGCATTGTTCGTTGTATGAAATGTTTTGGTCCAGGGATTGAGAATTCTGGTCTTTACAGATGCAAACCCACGCATTTACAAAATTTGGCTTGCTTGTAAGATCTCAACGGTTGTAAAAATGATCTTCTTACAAACACCTGGATTCACACAAGTGGAATTAATAACTGTCTAGTCCTGGGTCCCTGACAGTATAGGTCTGAAATGATCTGATAGCCCTATAAAAATAAGGGTGTGAAATGCTAAAAAGAACAGCAGGACCCTGTTGAGATGTCTTCAGAGGAAAAGACTTGAATGTGACTGTGAACTGTGAAGTGATCATCACAGTGTTAATAGTCTAATTTATTATTTGAAACTGTATGATATTGCACTTCAAGTACATATACCAGTACTTGAAACCAAGAAGTTAAAGAATAATCTTGATTACTGCTCCAAGGTTCTTTGCAAAATTTTGTATTAGTATTTTGTCATCTACTTATATGTGCAAAGCAATGTCTGTGACAGGCTGTCCAGTTACCTTACTTGAGGTGATTATTTGCAGTAACTTTGTGGAATTAAACTTGTGCATGTGTCAGAGATCTGGTGAGGATCAGTGAGAGGACAGAGCTTTTTCGAGCTTGTGCTCACCTAGATGAGAGAAAAACCTTCTATTTTTCAGATAAGCTACATTTATTCCAATTTTAGTCAGTACTATTTCATAGGCTATTAACAGGAAGCTCTGTTAATGAACAGTGTTTTGATAGGTAAGAATGTAATTTCTATATATCCGTTAACCTAAATATCCTTGCAGGCAACAGAGTAGAAAAAAAAGCTTTTGAAAGTCTCTTCAAACAAGGAAGAATCTGTGACATTCTTTCAACTTAGGGCCATTTTTACACCGTTCCAATTGTTTCAAGAAAGCCTTAAAGCTTATAAAACTGACCGTAGAATAAAAAGAAGTTATGCTTTACGTCACTCTACTATAAATAACTTTCTAGGGTTATATCCATTGTTTCCCTTCCTTCCTGCTTTTCACTCGGCTCCTTCGCTGTCCAGCTGCAATGAAAATGGACTTTCATTCCTGTGTGTTAGCGTTAGTGCATCAGCAGGTCTCCTCGGCGCTTCCCACTTCAAGTACCTTACTCTGCTGTTTGAGTGACTTCCACTGATAGCTGCTTGTGTTTTCAATGCAGGTCAGGGATTTATTGGTTATTTTTTTTCCTTCTTCCTCTTCTCTTTAAAGTTTTCTGCCACTGTTGTGTATATCTTTCTTCCTTTCATGGCTTTCAGTATCTTCTGTCTCTCATCTAGGGCTTGTTTTCATTCTTGTCCCCATTGTATTTAAGTCAGAAGATGAGAATCATGTTTACGTTTCTCCTTCTCTTCTTTTTTACAATACTGAAGTAATTCAGAAGTGATGCAGCAGTTTGTTTTGCTCTGGTAAACTGAATTCCTGATTGCTATAGCTTCGTGAATGTTCTGTGTTATTGACCATTCAGCATAAAATAGGTATCATGGTGACTGAATTTTTATCAAAATAGCTTTTCCTGTATTCCTTTGGGTGTACATTTCCCTATTCAAACTTCTGGAAATTCTCTTAGTCACTGGAAAAGTAAAGACCCTCACTTTTTATGAAGCACTTTAACTGAAAGCTGTATTTGTTAACTTTTTCCTTGTCTGACTGGGTAAGCATTAAGTATCTAGTGTGCCTCTCACAATTTTAAGGTAAGGGAGTCACTTGACAGGTAAAACAAAGAATCCCTCATCCGTCCATAAGGGTCAGTTACAAAGGGAAAGCACTAACTGTGTCGTGGTTTATTGAACACAAGTGTGCTCCTTTGTTCTGTGGACTTTGTCATGATTATCTGCGTGTTTGCAGTGACAGACTTGTTTGGTGGTTACATTAACAACTGGGCAAGAATGACACATCTTTTTGGTTACCCCATTTTCTATAGCTTTACTCCTGGCACGCAGCCTCATAACTGCGTGCAGGCATGGGGCAGGGGAGGCTGGCTGCCCTTCGCACAGCAGCGGTGAGGCAGTGACAGCCGTGGTGGGCTCCCCACCCTCCCATCTGGAACTTCCCACAGGTCATCCCTTCTCTGTGATCTCCTCCATTCTTACTCTTGTCCCGGTGACTTAGGAGAATAGTTGATGCTTTAAGGCTATGGTTCCTCAGGCTTGAGTCAGGTTTGCAAACAGAGCTTTGAGTTCTCTGTGATTTGGGTCACATTTTAAATGCTTTGCAAGTAAAGGAAGGTGAAAGGGAGGAGGAATAGATATTTTTATTTAATATTAGAATATCTTCTTTTTATGTGCGTGTAATTTTTTTGAAGTTTGTGCTGAAGGCCTTAAAAACCTTAATGATGTGTTTTTAGGTGAGGTGAAGGTGGAAAGCTGACAGTGATATTCTCTCTGAAATTGATAACAGAATTTTGCAGTAAATGTTTAATAATTACAAAGTTATTTCACCTCTGTAGTTCTTACATCTTCAAAAAAAAATGCTGTGTAAGCAGGAGACAAGTTGTTGGGGTTTTTTTTAATGCAGAAGACAAGATGGTGGGTTTTTTTAATGCAGAACACTTTGCAGTATTAACAAAAACTATGATTATTGAAGGGGCTATGTGGAAATACAGTCTTCTGGAGATTAATGGTTTATATCACTTTTATAGTTCATGATACAGTTAGAATACAAGAATGATTTTTCATTTTCCAGCTGAAGTCCAAATGAATAAAGTCTTGTTCATGTTATAACAATTGTATGGTTACTAAGTTTGTAAACTTGTGCTGGTTAATATAAAATGCAGCTTCATTCTTTTTGTCTTTATTCTTTTAGGTCATATTGAAGTTGTAAAATTACTTGTGGCCCATGGAGCTGAAGTGACGTGCAAAGACAAAAAATCATATACACCCTTACATGCTGCAGCATCTAGTGGGATGATCAGTGTAGTCAAATATCTTCTAGATCTTGGAGTTGATGTAAGGAAGAATAAAACAAAGTGATCATTTTTTTTTTTTTTTTTTTTAATGCTTTAAATGCTTTTATTAGTATTATAGTGTATTGTAGTGCTATAATTTAGGGGCAGGTTATGACATAGTGAAAATAGTATTTCCAAAGGTCTTCATTCCCGTGCCTTTTTTGTTATAAAACCCCATTCCCCCAAGGAACTTAAGAGCCTTGCAGGTTTTGCACAATTATTTGGAAATAAATTTATACTTAATGGGTTTTATGTTAATTTGTTATTTCTTACTCCTAGGTCATTGGACTGGAACTCAGGAAATAGGAATTCAGTTTCTAGTTTTGCCACACAATCCTTTTTGAACTTCATGAAATTAAACTTTGCTTCAGTTATTTGTAAAATACAGATGTTAATGACTTTCTTACAAGACATAAGTTTTAAGTAATAATAAAAATTTTGAGAAGCGTTAATACTACAGTAAGGAAGGTCATATTAATACTGAAATGCAAAATAAATTAAAAGGCTGTGCAGGAACTGCACGTAGGAAGTGTGTTAACAAGAAGCTGTAAGAGATCTACATTGTCCATCAAACTGGAGTTTTACAAGGCTGGAGAATGCTGCCTAAGTTGTATCTTAAGTAGATTAGAATTCAGTATCATGTTATTCACAGCAACAAATTCTACATCTATATGTATCAGCATGCCACCACCACAAAAAAAAAAAAATGCCTTTGACCTCTGTTTTTAACAGAAACCTGCAAATGTTGAAAAAATTGTAGGGGTCCTTGCAAACTGCCGTGCTGACTCTTTTTCCATATGCATGCTCTACCAATTTAAATGCTGCATACAGGAAACTGGTGTGGAGACAATGGGAGGGGGTTGGCTCACATGTAAAGGAGCTGTACTCTTTCCTGGTACACACTTCTTGATCAAAGAATTGGTTTTGAAGAATTAAAAAATGAAGTTGTATCATGACATCCAGATTTTTCTTTGCCATAATTAAGTGCTGCACGTACCACAGGGTTTTGTTGACTGACTAATCTTAGTTTTTTTTTCTCTGATAGATGAATGAACCAAACGCCTATGGAAATACTCCTCTCCATGTAGCTTGCTACAACGGTCAAGATGTTGTGGTGAATGAACTCATAGACTGCGGTGCTAATGTAAATCAAATGAATGAGAAGGGTTTTACACCTTTGCACTTTGCTGCTGCATCAACACATGGAGCATTGTGTTTAGAGCTTTTGGTCTGCAACGGAGCAGATGTAAACATTAAGGTAAGTGAATCTAAAGCCATCCATTCACTCTTAAAGCTGCAGTGTGTCTTTATCAGAGGTAATTTTTCAAAGTTATCGGTTAAAAATAACTGATGGAGTATTTCTGTGAAAAGTACTGTGGAAAAAATGAGCCAGTATATTTCTCCAAGGAATGTGATCTGAATCTGAAAAGTTCAATGGGATGTAGTATATAGCTCAAAAGGGTAAAGAAGAAAGATGACAATACTGCCTGGCCAATCTTGACTGTATTTTTATGTCAGAATTCCACATAATTTGTCTTCTCTAGTTTATCTGTATAAAAGTAAGAGCAAATCATGTGGCAAAATGCAAAATAACATGGTTTTCTTGTAAATAAGCAGCATTAACGAAATAAGGATATTTCAGAGAAATGTGTATGAACAGACTGATTGCTGGAGCAGTTGAAAAATTGGTAATGTAAGATCCTAAAATCCAGTTAATAAGGGAGAGTTGTGAAGAGTGTATTAAAAATACAAAGATAAGTAGATCAGGTGAATGGAAGGTCTTAAACACCAGATTTTTAATTACTCCAGCAAAACTTTGTGAGCAGAGTCAGTGAAGTTTTTACATCTCTCCTTGGTCACATGTCTTTGGCTGCAGAATATTCCTTAGAATCTAGTCTTAGTGTGGGTAGAATTTCTAATCCACACAAGCACAAAAGCAAGCTATAACATGAAACTTTGTTTTTCTTCTCAAGTGTGTAGGGTAAGGTCTTGAGATGTGTGAGAGATGGGAGGCCCCCTATTTTGTGTTAAGTTGATTTTTACTCTAGGAATGAAAACTTAGCTGTGTTCAGAAATATTCAGTGGCATTATCTGGTGTCTTGACAGGTTTCAGGCTGGGGGAAGTGGGAAATGAGTATGTGGAATGAAGAGTCCAAGTGTTCCTCTTACAAAGTATCTAGTTGCCTGTACTGTTGCCCACGTGTGGTAGGAAGAGAATTATCTATCCTTCTGTTTCTTTTAATAATAAATAAATATGTTTATGAGTTATGCCTGAATTTTGATACAAGCTGGATTAGAGGTGAACATTAGAATAGCTGACATTTCTGTTAAAAATCATGGTGCTTGTGGCTCACTTCATGTGTGACAGTCATGCTGATTTTCAGCTAACTTATTCTAAAATAAAGTTATATCCGTTGTTAGTACAGAATCAGTAGCTCACTGAAAATTTGGAAGGAATTTTAAAATGAGATATTTGAAATGTATGTGCTGCTCACTTTGGCATATAATTAAGCATGCAGCTCATTTAATGAAAATACATGTAAACTCACTTGTGGAAAAAAATCATCATCAAAGTGCCCTGGAGAAGTAAGGAGCTGTGCTACAGGGTTTATTGCCATCTTGTCCTAAAGTACACAAGTCATAGTCCATTTGTTTTTGTTGCCAGCTTTCTGCTCTGCATAATGTCCCAGACTGGATATGGCTGAGGGTTTAGCCTTACCGGGGCTGACTTCTGTCCTACATTTTTGAAACATCATTTCTCATTAACATATCTGCTGTCATGGAAAATAATCCCACAATGTTAAATATACTAATGATTATGTATGTATGTTACTTACACAAGTAAGAGCAAAAGGGAAACAAATATTGCCAAGCAAAGAATTACTGTTTTCCTTTATAATGGTTTCCAAGTTTTTTTCTGATGTAGAAGGAGGAAATGTGGAGGGCTTCATTTCAGAAAGGCATGCAGCAAGTAATGGTGATTGGGGTTTTTTTTGGCTATTTGTTTTCAATACAGCCTAATTGTAGCTTGGAATGAAAATTCAAAGCTTCCAACATTCTATTAGTATAATTAAACACTGTTAAAAATTACTATAATCTTTGTTTTAACTTAAAATGAGAATCTTTGGTTTATATATGGTATATCTTGTAGATACTGACTACATTTAGTTATTACAGAAGTAATCTCAGAAATTGTGCAAAGAATGGTTAATGTCTTCAGAGCGACTGGCAAAGTTCCTGAATCCTTCGAAGTTTATAATGTGAGTGAACCTGTTTTTGGAGATGACAAAAGATGTTTTAACATCAGAGAGATGTATTGTTGCCTGCCTTCCCATTAAACCTTAAGTTATGGGATCCAAAGTATATATTTGTTGGTTTCTGTAACTTAAAAAAAAAAAAAAAATCCATAGATGATTTAGTGTGGGTGAACCCAGGTTTTCTCTTAAGCTTAGCTCTGAGATGACAGAATCATTTTTTCTGAAACATGATAGTGATGGGGCTGGGAAGTGCAGCATGAAGCATATCAGAGAGCTGAGAATTTCAGCTGAAGTCTAAGAGCTTAGCAAAGGTCTGGCTACTGAAGTTAGCTTGCTTCAGAAGAAAATGTCATTACAGCGGAGAAGGTTAGGAGCCTTAGCTGTAGGTTGAGTGTAAGTGAAATGTGTTGATTTAGTATCAAAACTGTTAAGTGCAAAATTAAGAAAGTAGGGTCATGTAGGGGTTTTAAGTAATTACTGCTTGAAAATGGCATATAGTCCCTATTTTCACACCAACACCTGTCTCTGTTAGAATTCTGTTAACGATATTGCTGTGGATTTATACCAGTATGACTGAATTTAACCCATGAAATTGTGCTTGAAAGTGAGAACAGCCTTACTTTGTATATTAAAGCTTTATACTTGCACTGTTGAAAAATGCAAGGACTGAGGCAAACAAAAAAAATGTCCAAGTCAACTTCTGCTTCTCCAGAAAGACCTGTAAAGATAAATCTTGCATTTAATCAGAAGAACAATCCCTGAAAAATAGCAAAGAGAAGTTGGATTAGAATACATTGTGTCACTGGGAGTAATTTGTGAAGTGGGATGCTTTTAGAGGGTTCTTGCTAAGAATTTATTGTAACCAAGCTTATTCAGTTTCCAAATACTGAGGCTGAAGTTCAAAGTAGTTAATTATAATTGTTATAAGATTTTGGTTTTGTCATAATGCTGTTGTTTGTGTAATCCGATTCCATAGTTCCCTCCCATTTACAAGTGTTTCTGTGGTTTTAGAGGTAACAGAATGGGTCTGGATGTTAGTGGAGGTGCAGATTAGACAGTAACATTAAGTACATCCACTATGCAGTGGAAAACCTAGTGGGGAGGGAAACACTCGTATTCTTGATGGCAAGTAGAAGAAAGTGCTTGTGCATATCTGTGATGTTGGCCTCATCTCAAGAAGGGAATGCATAGCAGAAGGTAATGGACAGTAGAAATATGCTACATGCACTTTACCATCTCTGTAGGCAGGGGACATCTTTTCATACTTGTTTTTGTCGCCTTGTCAACGTCCATATAGTACCGTAGAACAGTGAATCCTGTATTGCTCATTACTGCAGCACTTTCTCCTCAGTGTTTCAGGTCTTCCATGCATGGAAGAACACGTTGAGATAAGTATGTAATGGGAGAGAATTAGTTGGTTTATGGGCCCCCTTGCTGCTTGAAAATTCACTGACCTAAATAGGAGCATTTTACTTCCGTTGGTGATACTAGAATATGAGAATTGTTGCTGGGGACAGTTTTCATTTGGAGGAGTGCTATGATGTGATAGACCCACACTTTCCCTTGACACTCAGTAAAGCTCAGTAGTCTGAGTACGGTTAGTATCTGAGTAATTACTTAATAGAATGCCTTGTGCTGTGAGTTAATTCTTTTTTTCTAATAGCAATTACTGTCTTAGCAAATTTTGCATGAGCATAAGTATTTCATGGGTACGTTTTCTCTACTGATAGAGGAGATTTGAGTGATTTCTTTCCTACTACCACTCTTGATGGAGTATCGGTGAAGAAAACAAAAGTTACTAGCCCATAGCTATTCTATCATGTGCTCTATCCTATCAGATCTCATAAAATCAAGAGCCATAATTAACAGTATTTAGATAGGAGACCTTAAAGGCATAAAAAAAAGGAAATGGTAGCAAAATTGATTGTCCAGTTCCTCAAGTAGATTTCAGTCCAATTTTCCATGTTTGCATCTGCTATGAGCACATGACTATGTCTTTTGAATTATTTACAGTCAAAGAAATCTGCTAGCTAAAACAACTGCAGATAACTTGTCTGTCATTATCGGGTGTTTTATTTCAATCTGGGTCTAAGGAGACCATGTTTCCCATAATTGCATTGTTCTAAGTGATGTATGCTGCTCTGTGCAGTGACACAACTAAAAATTCCACATCCAACTCTATCTAAAAGGATCTCCATCTTCAGTAACACCTTCATAGAAGCGTTGCCATTTGTTTCCAAAGGAAGAGTAAAGATGAGAAGACACTTTCATACATGACAGCAATTTGTAATATTTCAATACATATGTTCATATTGTATGTTCTGCCTACCATTTTTGTCTTTTAACTGTATTTTGTGAACTCTTCATACTTTTCAAAACTAATATTGAAAATGTAAAGAAGTGGTATGCATGTCCATACAAGTGTGCTTTTATTTTCTCTAAGTGTCATGTTTGCCATTTTTGGGTGGATTTGTGGGAACTTTTTTTAGCAATAAAACTTTCCCGTTACTGGTAAAGTACAGGGGGAAAAGACATCATCCTAAAATAACAACAAAAAAAAAATTTGGTTTTGTAAGTTCATTGAGATTGTGGTCTTAAAAATTGAAATTTCTTTGTGTGTTACTGTTGGCCCACTTGAAGGACATTTTTACTATGTCAATGGCTATATGCACATTTGATGTGTCAGATGTATAGTGCTAAGTAGTGGTTGAAGAGTTCTACCCTAGATGTACTTGAGTTTATGCTAAATTATTTTAAAATGCCAATTGACAGAAATTTCCATGAAACACATGAGCTTTTTAATGTGTTATCTTCTAATATAATGTGCAAGACTCTATTGTAAATACAGCTATTTTCTTTCAAGAAACTAATTTAAAGAAGCGTAGTTTTGTTTTAGAGTTGGGTGAGGGAAGAGTTGGACACAGGTTTGTTGCTGGAGTTGCGTGCTGTCATCATCCTCTTGAGAATGATTGTCCTAAAGGCATAATTGTGAGTGGGCATCACCAAGCTGTCACTCACAGCTGGAAGAGTGATTAAGAGCAGCTCTTTTGAAAAGCTTGTCACTGCCAGCATCCATCTTTCAGAATTGTGTAGGAACAGTTGAAAGGAGGGAGTAGAGGAAAGAATAAGAAAGCAGAAGAAAGTCCTTTTCCTTTCTTTTTTTTTCCAGTTCAGGTGGATTACTATTACTTGTCAGAAGTAATCACTGGGTTGTTGGTGTTTTTTTTTTTTTCTTTTCCAGAGTAAAGATGGGAAGACTCCTTTGCACATGACAGCGATCCATGGTAGATTTTCAAGATCTCAAACCATCATTCAAAATGGTAAAAAGGAGGAAGAAATAGTTTTCCCATCAGCTTTCCAGTATTATAAATATTTTACTCCTCTTGAATTTATAACAATGTATGGATTTCTGTTTTTTGTATCCAGGGTCCAGTAGTAGTTCCATTAATGGTGGAGTCTGGCTTATCTGCTTATAAAGTTTGATAAATTACATTGAAGAACCATTTATTTTCCAGGGTGCAGGAAAATACAGTAGTTTTTCCTTCCATAATGTAGGTTGCGGAAAGTTTGTCCCATGTGATTATATAAAAAAATTCTTCTCTCTATTTTATTTATTATCAATATTAAATACCACTGAAAGATGTATAGTTTGTGGGGGTTTTTTAATCCCAAGTAGTAATTTATGGACAATTACTAATGTTGCTTAAATTATCATCAGTGCGGTTTTTCTAATAAGAGTATCTGTATGCATATGTATATTTTTACTTAGTAGTTACTTTTTTTTGTAGGAGCTGAAATAGACTGTGAAGATAAGAATGGAAATACTCCTTTGCACATAGCAGCCAGATATGGCCATGAGCTATTAATCAACACTCTGATTACGAGTGGTGCTGACACTGCAAAGTAGGTAACTTTACTGACATGAATGCAAGCTGAAAGAATTTAGAAATGTATTTAATAGATGAACAAGAGTAGTATGTTTTTTGAATATCATCTATAGTTTGAGATAGGAAATGCTTTGTGTGTTATCCTGTACTGTACTTTGAAGCAGCTACTCAGTATGTTGCAATTTGTACAAAAAGAAAGAAATAGATTTTCCTCTATAATGTATTTGAAGTAAAAGCTCTGAAAGTTTCAGTAGGCTGTTGAACTGACTTAATGCATCCTGCTGGCTTCTAATAAAACATTTAATATGTGAAGTTTTCCTAAGGCTCAGTATTCCAATCAGGTGGTTTGCTGAACCCACCATGTATGGTGCTCTTTGGCACACAATCATGTTTGTTTTATTTTAATTGTAATGAAACAGTGATGCCTGATTGTGGTGTATCTTAGGCGGGGTATACATGGGATGTTTCCTCTCCATTTGGCAGCATTAAGTGGATTTTCAGACTGCTGCAGAAAACTCCTCTCATCAGGTAAGATACTCTTTAAAAATCTTACAGTTGCTTTGTAATTAGTTTTTTGTTCCATAGAATAGCTTTTAAGTAAGTCTTAATTTAGTAATACATAAAAATATTTATAGTTTATTAGTAGCTTGGAGTCAGTGCTTGTTTTTTTTTCATGGACAGTCCATAGTTAAAGTGAATGCAAACTCTTACAGAAGTAATTAAAAAAAATAATTCAAACTGAAATAATGCATCTATAACTTCTTAAGTGTTGTGTTTGTGTGTTTTAAGTTGGCCATGGAGGTTGGATGACGGGTTCAGACCATAATGCAACCTCAAGGAGAAAGGCTTATGTTCTCTTAAATGACTTCATGGAGCATCCTCCATTTCTCTTCCATGATGTCTTTAGCTTAATGCAGATTGACCTGTTCCTGTAATAGGCACCTAATAGCTCTGAAGACTGTGGACTGCTACATGAAGAAACTGTTACATTGGTGGTTTATTGTTAATTAAATGCAACCCACAATGCACTTTGCTTTCATTGTTTGAGTCCTTCCTGAAGTTGTGGAGGGGTCATAAGGTTATTACTTCCCTTGTTGGCCAGAGTCTGCTCTGATGTGAATTCTGAGCTCCTCGAACCATTGCAGTTCTGCAAAATTAGAGTTGTCTGAAGGACTGTGTAAACTTCAGAAATAGAAGAAACTAAATGGTTCTACATTAATCTGAAGACACTTCATGGTTTTTGATAACATGAGAGTGAGGGGCAGAGGGCTGGGTAAAAGGAAGAGTAAGAAGTTGCTTCCCCAGCTTTATTTTCTGCTCGGGGAGCCTGGGAGAAGAACTAAAGGAGTATAACTAAAGCTACCACTGGTAAGGCTTTTTATTTCACTCTTCCTGTCATGGAGAAGCTTGCAAGGGTTTGCTCCAGAGAAGAACTGCCCTACAGTCAAGTATATTTCAGTTGGATGCATTTCTGCCTCTTTCTCCTTTCTGCACATGGTGCTGTGCTGGCTGTGCCCTTACTGGAGATACAGTACAGCAAAGGAATCCCTGTGGAAGACTTGCAAGTGGTTTCTGTGACTTTTACATCAGTTGAGTGAACTTGGATGTAAATCTAGCCAGGAGCAGATAAGGACTTGAAGAGTATGTTCAGCTTTCAGGCTGGGGAGGCTAGGTGCTGCTAACAGCTTATTAGCTGGCAGCAACAGCTTGATGTGGGGGTTGGTATCTGCAAACTATGTGCCCTTCTGGTTTTGAGATGAAGAGCCTCATTTATCTAAATTAAGAAGATCTCATTTTTAAACTCATTAATATTCTTGTGAAGATCTTAAAATCATCAATCTGCCTTGTCTCCATAGTGAATGACATTCAAGTAACTACTGATTTTAGACAAACAACCTAGGGATGTGGGAAGGCATCAAAGACTACTTTTCAGATCAGATTGGTAAACTATCTTAAATTGTTTGCTGTAGGTCACTGCCTATTGAATTCAGAGGAGAATGTAGTGGCACATAGAAAACCTGTGTTTTGAGGGATATGGAGTAGGAAAACAGTCTTGAATAGTAATATTCTTGAATAACATCCTGTGTTGTTCAGGGTTTATCATTGTTGAACAAATCTTAAAAAGAAAAAATAAAAACCCAATTGCATTCCCAGGCAAAAGTAGCAAAACTGGAGATGTAATGAAGGAGTTTTCTCAAACCAAAAATGTAGCTTTGAAACCCAAATTAAATAGTAATCTTCATGTCAAAGTATATGGTTGCATATATATGGAATTGCACAGTTGAAGTTTGTGATCTCATATTTGAAGTTCCATAGTCAAACTTTTTTGGAAAGAGAAAACAACAATGTTCTCTAAAGAGCTCCTTTGTAAGTATTTCCTATTTACAGACTCCACTCCAGCTTAACAAAATTCTTTCTCTGGGGATGTAAGTCTATGGGGCCTGATGAGAGGCATCCCAGAATCCTGATGGAATTGGCTGACGTAGTTGCCACGCCAGTCTCCATGGTATTTGAAGAGTCATGGCAGTCAGGTGAAGTCCCTGGTGACTGGAAGAAGGGAAACGTTGCACCCATTTTTAGAAAGGGTAGAAAGGAGGCCTCTGGGAACTACCAACTGCTCAACCTCACCTCTGTGCCTGGGAAGATCATGGAATGTATCTGCCTAGAAGCTCTGCTAAGGCATGTGGGAGATGGGGAGGTGATTTGAGACAGCCAGCATGGCATCACTAAGGGCAAGTCCTGCCTGACCAACCCTAGTGGCTTTCTGCGATGGAGTTACTATATCAGGAGATAAGGGAAGCACAATGGATGTCATCTGTCTGGAGTTCTGCAAGGCTATTGACACGGTTTCCTGCAACATCCTTCTCTCTAAGTTGGAAAGATATGGATTTGATGTGTGGACTGTTCTGTGGATAAGGAATTGGTTGAACAGTCACATCCAGAGGGTAGTGGTCAATGGTTTGATGTCTAGGTGGAGATGGGTGACAAGTGGGGTCCCTCAGGAGCCCATGCTGGGACCAGTACTGTTTAACATCTTCATCAGTGATACAGACAGTGGGATCAAGTGCACCCTCGGCAAGTTTGCAGATGACACCAAGCTGAGTGGTGTGGTCAACATGCCAGAAGGACAGGATGCCATCCAGGGGAATTGGACAATCTTGAGAAGTGAGCCCATGTGAACCTCATGACATTCAACATGGCCAGGTGCGAGGTCCTGCGCCTGGGTAGGGGCAATCCTCATCAATTCACAGATTCACACAATGTTAGGGGTTGGAAGGGACCTCAAGAGATCATCTAGTCCAACCCCCCTGCCAGAGCAGGATCACCTAGAGTACATCACACAGGAACATGGTGCTGCCAGCTGCCGCTCCGCCCTCTG